TTCTATCTCTCCCCACCTCCTTCTCTTATCCCCTTCCTGGGGACTTTCTTCAATTGCACCATAGGCTTGTCTGCTAGCTTGCTGTTATCCCCACTCCAAGAATTATTCTTTCCACCTATTGAATTCTCTCCCCTTTGACTTTTCTCTCCTGTGTAGTCCAGAATGAGTGACCACCCATTAATCTCAGTACCCTGTTTCACTTCCATGTGAAACCTTGTTCATGTCTGTTTTGGTCTTAAATTCAATGCAGGAAATCCCTTCTGTTGTCTTATCTTGGTGCAGACCAGTCTAACCTTAATAGCATCTTCAAACACTTGAGTTCCTCCTCAGTTACCTTACAAAACAGATTATTTTAAGACAAATTTTTTTTAAAAAAATAAATTCATTATTTATTTAGTTCTAATATTCCTTTTGGAAGAAAAAAATGAGTTCTCAATTCTCTCTCTCCCTCCAGTCTCTCCCCCTCCCACTGAGAAGGTAAGCAAGATAATATAAATTATATGTGTGAAATTCTGCAGAACATATTTCTATATTAGCCAGGTTGTAAAAAAAAAAAAAAAAAGGAAGACAAAGAAAATGAAAAATCATACTTTAATCTGAAGTCAGAGATCATCAGTTCTCCTTCTAGAGGTTGATAGCATTTTTCATCGTAAGAACTAAGGAATTAGCTTACATTATTGTATTGCTGACAATGGCTCAGTCTTTCAGAGTTGATCATCATCACAATACTGCTGTTACTGTGCACAGCGTTCTTCTGATTTGGTTCACTTTACTTTGCATCAGCCCACACAAGTCTTCCTTAGTTTTTCTGAAACCATCCCCCTTGTCATTTCTTACAGCATAACAGTAGTCCATCACAATCATATGCCACAACTTCTTCGGCCATTCCCCAGTTGATAGGCATCCTCTCAATTTCCTGTTCTTTGCTACCACACAAAGAGCTGCTATGAATATTTTTGCACATGTAGGTTACAAGGTAGATTCTTGATGAAGACAGGTATCTTGATCTCCTCCAGTTTCATTTCAGAGCCAAGGACTTTGGAGCCAAAGTTCTAGAACTTTTTCCATGTCTCCAGATGATTCAAATTCCATGTAACCAAACTTCCTGGTGGTGCCAATGCAGACCACCACAACCATAAGGTTTTTTTTTTTTTTCTGACAAGGAGTTCATGATGCCAATTTTTAGCTCAGAAATGGTTTTGTTGAAATTCAGGTTACCAGCAGAGATTGACATTTGGATATGCTTCAGTCTCCAATTTCTGTTTTCTTGTCTTCAGGGGCTTTCTATTTGTCCATTTCCTTTTTCCTCTTCCCCGGTGCCTCTTAGATGGGTGCTTCCTCTTTTTCCTCCTCCTCCTCAGATTCCTTGACTTTCCCAGCTTTCCCAGGGGCAGCTTTCACAGGAGCAGCCTTACCCTTTGGCAGGTATGGGACCCACAGCTTCTACAGTCATCCTCATCATTACCATCTTTCTCCTCATCCTAAGTCTCATGTTTGGCCGGAGCTGCTCCCATTTTTATGGTCTTGGGTGGCTCAAATTCCTCATCCTTCTCACCCCACTATCTACTTTTTCAGGTTTGCTGTCCTCTTTGTTGGCATTCTTCCCATTTTCTTGCCCCATAAGTCAGAGGTGCTGCTGCTTTCGCTGGGCTGGCTCCCTTCTTCCCTTGTGTGATGATAGCTTTGGATGGGGTAGCCACTTTCTTCGCTGGTGCTATGGCTGCCTAATTCTTAGCATTTGTGGTGGCAACAACAGTTTTTTGACTGGCAGTACCTTCTTTGCTGGAGTAACCCCTGGCTTCTTGCTCTTTGAGGGACCACAGTCCCTTCTTCACTGCTTTCCTCTTCATTTTCTGAAATGTGCCCATTCTCACTGTCTTCTGTCTCCTTGGGGGGAAGAATCATTTTCTCTGACTCACCTTGATTTTTAGCAGCCTCCCCAAGATTCACCATAGTGACATGTGACAAGCGAGATAAGAGGGTACAGATCCACTGGCAGAGGCCCAACTTTTGACACTGTTGATCACTATTTCCTCCTTGAGTTTAGTTTTTGGGACCCCATTCTCTCCTAGTTTTCCTTCTTCCTATCTGACTGTTCCTCACACCCTCTCACCATAGGTGTCCCTCAGGGCTCTGTCTTAGAGCTGTTCAGTCTTCTCCTTCAATACTGTTTCCTTGGTGATGTCATCAGATCCTGTGGATTTAATTACCATTTCTATGCTGACTCTCAAATCTACCTTTCCTGGCCAGATCTCTTTGCTGACCTCTGACAACTCTCTCCTCCTCTGCTTTGCTGGATCCTCAAATATACCTATTCTGCCCCAGTCTTTCTGCTGACCTCCAATCTCACATCACCAATTGCTTTTCAGACTTCTCGAACTGGAAGTTTAGTAGACATCTTAAACTCAACAAGTCCAAAGCTGAACTCATTATCTTTTCCCTGAAACCATTACCACTCCTACTTTCCCTATTACTAAAGAGGGCCACACCATCCTCCCAGCGTCTCAGGTTCACAACCTAGGAGTCATCTTGGCTTCCTTACCATCTCTCTCTCCCCCTTATCCAAGATGTTGCCAAGACCTGTTGATTGCACCTTTGCAACATGTCTTGGATCTTCTCAGATTTCTCTCCTCTGACACTGCCCCCACTCTAGTGTAGACCTCATCACCTCACACCTTAACTGTTGTAATAGTTTGCTAGTGGGTCTGCCTACCTCAGGCCTCTTCCCCACTCCAATCCATCCTCCATTCAGCCACTAAAGTGATTTTCCTAAAGGGCAGATCTGACCACGTCACCCTCCTATTCAATAAATTCCAGCAGCTCCCTATTACCTCCAGGAGCAAGTACAAAATGCTCCGTTTGTCAAAGCCCTTCATAAACTCTTACCTTTCCAGTTTTCTTACATCTCTTTGATCCAGTGACACCAGCCTCCTGATTGTTCCACGAGCAAGCCCTTCCCTCTCTCTGCTCTGAGCATTTTCTTTGGTTGTCCCCCATGCCTGGAATGCTCTCTCTGCTCCACTCTACCGACCTCTCTGACTTCCTTTAAGTCCCAACTAAAATCCCACCTTCTACAGGAAGCCTTCCCCCAACCCTTAATTCCAGTGCCTTCCTTCTGTTCATTATCTCCTATTCATCTTATCTCTAACTTGCTTTGTTTGCATTTGTTTGCATGTCCATCTGCCCCACTAGATCCTGAGCTCCTTGACAGGAGGCACTGTCGTGCTCCATTTTGCAGCTAGCCCCAGCACTTCGCACAGCGGCCAGCACAGAGTAGGTGCTTAATAAATTTTTATTGATTGATTGTTGTGTGTATATGTATATTGACAGAAATGATTATTTTCTATCATATTAATAACTAATTGTTAAATTAGGGTTAAGGTTTTCCCTTCCTATTTTCTCATTTAGAAACCAGCCACTGTAGGTATTCAACCAGTCTCTGAAAGACATTGCTGATAGATGAGATTGTATCCTCTGGATATATGCTTCTCAGTCTTTGATGGGACCCTGTGGGACTCCACCTCAAATGGAAGACCTTACAAACAGAATCCAGTCTAGGTGAGTTCTTGTCCTTAGGAAATAAGCCTCTGTCCTTGGAACCTTCCATCAGAATTTAGGGAGAACCAGCTTATGAAGAGGAAAACCAACCAGAGGGGTATGGATAGAGATGGATTCTTTTGTCCAGATTCCTGGAGGCAACTCAATCTCACGATCAGGTCACCTTCCCAACAGGAGGAACTGAAAAAAATTTGCCCACCTCTTCATTAACATGGCCACCCCCTCACTGATTGTTAACCAGCGTTGAATTCCACCCTCCGGGACACCCCTTTTCCAAAGATATTTAGCTATTCCATGGTCTCCAAGATTTGTCTTTGGTTTCTGAGAGAACCACTGACCTCAATTTATTATTTTCTAGCCATAATTAAATTAATTACCCAGAAACTCTCTCTCAAGCTTTTCATTCCTCTCTCTCACCCACACCCACACATATATATTATACACATATACATCTATATACACTCACACATATATATATAGTACACACACACATATATATATAAAGTTAATAAAACATCAAAATTATTCTTTTTGTATCCCTCTCCTGCACTTTTGTTTTCCTCTATTTTTTTCAATGTTTTATCTCCCATTAGAATGTATCCTGAGGGTGTAACCTATCAATTTTTTATATTTGCATCAATTTTTATATTTGCATTTGTATATTTTGTATTTGCATCACATTTGTATTTTATATTGATATTTTCACCAATTTGTATTTGGACATGTCTGGAACAGAGTATTTAATAAAGGCTTCATTCATTCATTCATTCATTTCTTCATTCTCAAAGCCTTCCGCCCCTCAGAAGCCCTAGCTTCCTTCAGAGCTTAGCCCAAGCATTACTTCTCAGCAGATAGTGTTTCCCCCCAAATTATCTTGTATTTAGACATTTATTTTACACAGATTTTGCATAGACCTCTCTATGTGTGCCTGTTGTCTCCTTCATAGAGCAGAAGCTGCTTGAGGGCAAGGATGATTTCATTTTGGCCTTTGTAACCTCAGTACTTTGCACAGCATCTGGCACTTAGTAGGTACTTCATAAATGCTTGTTGATCATTTGTTTAGGCCTGGGTTTCCTCATCTGCAAAATAAGGGGGTTGGCTAAATGTCCTTTAATGTCAGTCCTTAATCAATCGACGAGCATTTATCAAGTGCCTGCTGTGTGCCAGGAACTGTGCAAAGGGCCAGAAACACAAAGATGAAAATGAAGTTTAAGAAGCCATCAAAGCTTCCAACTGCACCAAAACTTTTGGGACACCCTATGACTGCCAAATGAATGCATAAATCCAACTGCGTTCGTACTGAAAGGTTTTAAATTCCAGACCAAGGGGTTCGTGTTTAACCTGAGGCATAACAGGCAGCCAACTGCAAAATAGAAGAAGTCTCCACATCCGAAGATTCAAGTATCCTGGCAATATCAAAGTTCGGAAAAGAAAGAAAGAAATCAACTTTTACAAAACAAAATTTATTAAAAATTTGTACAATTTCTTTGGCTATTCCCAGTTAATTTCCACAGCTTTCTCAGGCCTTCTGGGACCCAGAAGTTTCCGAATCTGCTATTGCAACTCTAACCCAACCCTAGAAGCTTATATGATTAGTTGAAAGGATCAGACAGATATGCTGTGGGATGACAGATTTCAACGTGGGAATTAAGACAAAAAGCTACTCGCATACAAGACCTGCCCACAACACCAAGTCATGGAAATCTTACAGTCATCATTAACTATCTCAGGAGACCAACACTGAAGTAATTCTATTTCAATCTTATCTCACCTTATTTCTCCATATACAGAATGCAGATTTCAAAATATTACAGTCTCAAGAAGCGTCCTTAAATTAAGTGGAACATTTGGACAGAAGGTTTCTGGCCATCACAGTGACTATTCCCAGTACCCCCACTGAACACCGCAACAATCTTGTTCACTGCCCTTCGTATCCCAGAATCAAATATCGGAACAATTTTGCCAACGAGTCAGAGAACAGAGCAGGGAACTCCCAAGGTTCAGGAGTCCCTTTTTCTTTTTTCTTTTTGTTAAGAAATTCTGAAAGCCCAGAAGATGACACAGAGTCAACAGCAGTATCATATCTGAGCTGGAGGCATTAAAGGGAAGGGAGATCGAGTCAGTGGGAAGAGATCTTAGACATCGAACACGTCGCCCATCTCCACCACTCTCCACGACCGCGGACTTTTCCAGGAGCATTCGTTACCTGTCGTAGTTTCATTTAACGGCCCTTCGATGAGCTTGCTGGTACTTGAATCGTACATTGCCATGCTCCCTATCTCCCCCTCGCTCGAGTCACCACGTCCCCACCACTTCTTTCCCACCCGGTAGAGCCTGGCACAGGGCTGGGCACACAGCGAGAGATCAAGAAAAACCAGCGATGTCTTGGAAAACAAGCTGGGTTTGAGTCAGTAGACCAGGATTCAAACTGCATCTCTATTTCCTGCCTGCATAAACTTGGAAAAATCATTTAACGTCTCTAGAACTCGGCCAAAATCGTCTGTTAAGATGAGGTTTTGGACAAGATATGGGATTGTTTGCCTTTTCTGTGTCATGGACCCCTTAGAAAGTCTGATGAAACTTGTGGACCCTTCTCAGAGTGACGTTTCATTGCCGACATTCACAATCAAAGGAAATGAACAATTTCCAGAAGAGGTTAGTGAAAATAAAGATGCCGCCTTTTTCTCATCCAAGGTTGAGGACTGCTTGAAATCTCTCCCTGGATCCCTGGGAATCGGCACACCTCGGGTTAAATGCCTGGATGAGAGGTCACCAAGGTCTGTCCTTTGCTCCTGTGACTCTGTGTCAACCAAACACTGCAAATTCAAACACACATATTGCTTCCCTCCAGCGGTAGACTTCAGAGAACAAGGCAGTCGCTGCACAGGCAAATCAACCATTCACGATGGCCAGTCACATTCAGAGGACACTTTACAGTCATGAAGCACTTCACAGACAGTCTCTCGTTGGAGCCCCACAACAACCCTGTGAGGTAGGTGGCTGTATTATCCCCATTTTACAGATGGGGAAACTGAGGCTCAGAGAGATGCCGCGATCTGTCCGACATCCCCCAACCAGAAAGGCAGAGCTGGGACCCAACCCCAAGACAGGACACATGCAAAGAGAGTAACTAAGTGCTGCCAGAGCTGCTTTCTGGGCACCAGGACGGCCCAGGCCCAGTGGAGGTCAGCCCCCAAAGCAGGAGACTGCACCTCACCAAGAGGACTGCGGGGCTAGGAAATGATATTGCTACCAGCCGACTTCCCTAAAGGAAACCATCTGAGACACAAAACGCTTTCTGGGCTTGATGCTGCCAGACGGGCACCATTCGGCCCAAGTCAGATCTGACACAGCCCTTCAGAACTCTGGGGACTGCTGGTCAAGAGGAGAATGTGAATCCCCACATCATGACTCCTCCACAGGGACTGCATCAGCGATGGAGCGGGCGCCATCTGGCTTGGGGAGGGACTGACGCTAACCAGGAAAGCTGGCCTTACAGTGAGCCCTGGGAAAGGCCTGTTGGAAAAGGAGCCCTTTGTGTGTCTGGGTTTGACCCTCAGCTCTGCATCGAGAGGTGGGACGCGCCCATCTTCTCTGACCTCAGCCCGCTGTAACTATACCTGACCAGCCTCCAGCTTCCCCGGGGCCTCGGGAGGTGATGGAAGCAACGGGATACAATGAGAATGAAGGGACAGCTTCCCCAGCAGAGGGGCAGAGGGGAACCTTCTGAGCTGGTCAATGTGCTTCGGAAAAGGCCTCTGGGTCAGCAGGAGAGGCAGGGGAGGGCACAGCAGACCAGGGACCCGCCCAGCTGCTAGCAGCGGACGTTCCGGAACCCAGACACTGTCACCTTCCCCTTCAGGTAAATGTCCTCATCTGCCCCTTGGTTAAGGTGCTTCACCATGTTTTTCTCAAAGAGCAAGGGGTGGTAGGCGCCCATAGTGCACGCGCTGTCAAAGAAGCGCTGGTAGTAGTAACAAATGTCTGTTTTGCGCTTTGAGGGCAAAAATTCATATATATCCACCTTGTCACAGAAGCTCATCATGATCACAATACCTGAGAAAGAGAGATGGAGAGAGAGAAGTGGAAAGAGGGAGGGAGGGAGAGGGAGAGAGAGAGGGAGAGAGAGAGGGAGGGAGAGAGAGAGAGGGAGAGAGAGAGGAAGGGAGGGAGGGAGGAAGGGAGAGAGAGAGAGGGGGAGAGAGACAGAGAGAGAGACGGAGGGAGGAAGGGAGGGAGGGAGAGACAGAGAGAGAGAGAGACAGAAAGAGAGGGAGGGAGGAAGGGGGAGAGAGAGAGAGAGAGAACGAATGTTACAAAATGAATCCCCAATCA